TGTGGCTTTTATTTATTTATTTTTAAATGAATAAAATCTTTTATTTGCATTGTAAACTGTTAGATTTCTTTTCTTTTCTTTTTTTTACTTCCCCCCCCATCTCTTAACACATGCTTTCTAGTTTATTTTTTTAATTTTTTCATTAAATTTTTTAAAATTTATTTTTATTAGTTGGAGGCTAATTACTTTACAATATTGTAGTGGTTTTTGCCATACATTGACATGAATCAGCCATGGATTTACATGTGTTCCCCATCCTGATCCCCCCTCCCACCTCCCTCCTCATCCCATCCCTCTGGGTCATCCCAGTGCACCAGTCCCGAGCACTTGTCTCATGCATCCAACCTGGATTGGCGATCTGTTTCACACTTGATAATATACATGTTTCGATGCTGTTCTCTCAGATCATCCCACCCTCGCCTTCTCCCATAGAGTCCAAAAGTCTGTTCTATACATCTGTGTCTCTTTTTCTGTCTTGCATATAGGGTTATCATTACCATCTTAAATTCCATATATATGCATTAGTATACTATATTGGTGTTTATCTTTCTGGCTTACTTCACTCTGTATAAGGGGTTCTAGTTTCATCCATCTCATTAGAACTGATTCAAATGTATTCTTTTTAATGGCTGAGTAATATTCCATGGTGTAAATGTACCACAGCTTTCTTATCCATTCGTCTGCTGATGGGCATCTAGGTTGCTTCCATGTCCTGGCTATTATAAACAGTGTTGTGTGGGTTTTATTTTATTTTTTTTTTGCCCTCTACTGTAAGCTCCTATTCACCAAAGAAAGTGTGAAAGAAAATGCAGATTTTACGGCAGGACAAGAAAAATTTAGACATAAAAATTTTTTTCTGTGCCTTTTGGCCTCTTGTCCCCCGACACTGTGCACTGTGTATCTGCATTAGACATGGAACAAACCCCCATCAGCAGAAATATCTGCTCAACCATAAAGAACAACATTCTTCTCACATCAACAAGACAACTCCTTAAAAGACAGCCTTGACCTTGTAAGGGGCCACGATGAACCATGATGATTCACTAGATTGTGTAAACTGTTGATAAGACATCATTTAATATACAGCCCTCTGTCTCAAAAACTGTAACTGTGTCTAGACCTCTAATCGGTAGGACAGTTCTCAGAATTTTCTGAGAGACTGTTCCTGGATTACAGTCCTCAATTCGACTTGAATAAAATTTTGCATTTCTGGGACTTCCCTGGTGGACAAACCTAGACAGTGTACTCAAAACCAGAGGCATTACTTTGCCAACAAAGGTCTGTATAGTTTTTCCAGTAGTCAAGTACAGATGTGAGAGTTGGACCATAAAGTAGGCTGAGCGCCAAAGAATTGATGTTTTCGAACTGTGGGGATGGAGAAGACGCTTGAGAATCCCTTAGATAGCCAGAAGATCAAACCAGTCAATCTTAAAGGAAATCAACCCAGAATATTCACTGGAAGGGCTGACGCTGAAGCTCCAATACTTTGGTCACCTGATGCGAAGAGATGACTCACTGGAAAAGACCCTGATGCTGGGAAAGATTGAGGACAGGAGGAGAAGGGAGCAACAGAGAACAAGACGGTTGGATGGCATCACCGACTCAGTGGACATGAGTTTGAGCAAACTTGGGGAGACAGTAAAGGACAGGGGAGCCTGGAGTGCTGCGGTCCGTGGGGTCGCAAAGAATCGGACACGACAGAGAGTGAACAGCAGTACTTTTAAGTACAGGCACACTTAAAAGTATAGTTTTAAAACATCTGGGAAATACTCATCAAGCTGTTCATAGTAGCTAGTTCTACAGAAGTGAAGGGGGGATCTGACTTTTTATTTTAGACAACTCAGTATTTTTTCTTAGATAGCAAGCATGAAATACCTAAAGAATAAATGATGTAACAAACCACCAGGCGTCTCTGTAGCTGAAGGAGTTACTGTGTTCTAGGGATTAAGAAAGATTCAGAACATCAAGAGTAATGTGGATGTGGATGGTAATGTGGATGTGGATGTCGAGGTTCCTTCCTTCTATCTCAAAACCATCTCTCTTAATTACTTGTAATTTCCCCCCCTCCCCATTTTCTCTCTATCCTCTAGTTTCTCAGCTGGTTAAACACCTGAAAGTGTGTCTGCTGCTTGAAATCTGCCCATAGCTATGGTTTTACACACACACACACACACACACACACACACACACACGTGCACACCCACGGGCACCATAAAACCTTCTCCAAAGAAATAAAAATATAAATAGATTGCTAAGGAGAAATAAAGAGGAAGCAGTGTCGGGGGTGGGAGAGGACAGGGTTAATAGGACACTCTGGATGTGTTGAAAGGTCCCCAGGGTCAGAATCTTAAGATCTAAAAAAAACGGAACAGGTCAGACTGAAGTCACCCAGCTGATTCTATTTGTCTTTGCTGCCTTGAGCTGCCACCGACTCCTCCTCCTCCTCTTCCTCCTTTTCTTCCTACAAAAAGGTGGAGGTCATAATCCCTTCCCTGAGAAGAAGAACACAGCTTTTGATCTGAGTTTCCACCAGACTTGGCGAGTTCCCAGGACAGGACAGTACACGTTGGCGAACAGTTCAAAGAGCTGGATCTCAGCGTGGCGTTTGTCTAAGCTACACCCTGCGGTGCTCCAGAGAACTTGCGGTGGGAAGGCTGGGGACGGGGTGTGGACGCGAGAGCTCACGGACGCCACCTGCAGGCTGGAGAGGGGTGGCGGCTGGGGCGGGGAGGTAGGAGGGCAGTGGTGGTGCAGGGTAGGTGAAGGGTGAGAAAGGGGGGCTCCCAGTGTCTGCCTGCGTGCTGAGTCGCTCAGTCCTGTCCCACTCTTTGCAACCCTATGGACGGTAGCCCGCCAGGCTCCTCTGTCCATGGATTCTCCAGGCAAGAACACTGCAGTGTGTTGCCTTGCTCTCCTCCAGGGGATCTTCCCGGCCCAGGGATCGAACCTGAGTCTCTTACATCTCCTGCACTGGCAGGTGGGTTCTTTACCACTAGCGCCACATGGGAAGTCCAGGGCTCCCAGTGCCCACCCCTGAATCAAAGAGTTGCTTTATGTTGTATTTATTGGCCTGAATTCAGCTTATCTTTAAAGCTATTACCTGGATGAAAACTATCCAACCAGACCCCCCTTTTTCAAATGAGGAACCGAGTGTGGAGACAGAAGGGGACATGGCTTGTTCATCTCCTGACTGAGCAGTGCGTATACACGCTGGAGGGACTTATCAGCCACTATGGTTCCTCCTTAAGACCCAGCTTGGGGCCCATCCTACCAGCCCCAGATACTGGATTCACTCAATCTGGTCTTCTACTAGCCAGATCACTAATTTGAATATAGAACACTTCCCTGCCGAGAAGCTTTGTCCTTAAGAACAAAGCCAGCCCCAAACAGTGACCACAGAACAATAAAGGTACTGATTTTTTCCACAGTGACTGTAACAACCTTTGAAACAAAAATCATTGCTCTACAATTAGTAAGCATCGTTCCCCCTCCCCTGAGGTCACTCTGACCTTGAGTTTATCCTGGGTTGCCCCTCCCCTCCCTGCTCAGATGCACGGGATGCACAGATAAAGTCCAAACTCCCTCTGAGTGCGGCTGAAGAGGAGGTGTGAGGGCTTTGAAGACAGACAAGGCAAGGTCAGCATCCTGACCCAGTTGAGTATCTGGTCTCAGGCCACTGAGTAAGACTCCTCGAGCCAGCTCAGCTGAAAAGATGGGAGAGAAGGCCATGTGATGATGCAAACAGAACCACCTGGCCGAACAGGCACCCAAACAGCAAGGAGCTGCAACCCAAGCGTCCATCAAGGGAAGAATGGATGAGCCAAATACACACAATGGGATACTGCGGGCATGTGTGCATGTTCAGCTGTGCCCCACTCTGGAACCCCATGGACTGCAGTCTGCCAGGCTCCTCTGTCCATGGAATTTCCCAGGCAAGGATACTGGAGTGGGTTGCCATTTCTAACTCCAGGGGATCCTCCCGATCCAGTAGACGTGGGCTCGATCCCTGGGTCAGGAAGATCCCCTGGAGAAGGGAATGGCAACCTGCTCCAGTATCCTTGCCTGGGAAATCTGATGGACAGAGGAGCCTGACAGGCTACAGTCCATAGGGTAGCAAACAGTCAGATACAACTTAGCGACTGAGCGCGCGCACACACACACACACACACACACACGAGCAGCAGAGAGGCAAAGGCAGGATGATAGATGTGGTGAGATGCTGTCATGATCTTTATCAATAAACTCGATCCATCCTCCTCTCTTTGGAGTGTTAGGGAGCATCTTTTATCCTTTCTGGAATTACCCAGACACAGCTGGGCATCAGAGTACAGAGCCCACAGACGGAGGAGGATCAGATGAGGGCAGCTGCAGGGGGGCAGCCAGGCTGCACGACGTTGCTCTCAGGGAATCCAGGGACAGGTGGAAAGTAGCCACATGCATCACACAGCACCCAAACCCTCAGAGGCAACTCTGGAAGGCATCCTCGGCTTTGAGGCACACAGGTGATACCTAGAAGCCTCCCACATCTCTCAAAGGACATCTGCAAGGGGTCTGGTGAGGGGCTTTTAGGCTCTGGTGCTGTTTGTAACTAGAAACATCCCTCCTCAGTACACAGAAATATCAGGTCCCAGGCAGGAAGCCAGGAAGTGGTGCTCACAGCCAGAGGTGGGTTTCACCAGCCGCTCAGCCAGAGAACTAAGAAGTGGCTCCAAATGAACGCTCAGCCCCCACCTCCCCATTTCAGAGGAGCAGAAGAACCCCGTCCACCACACTGCTGTTCCATCAACACCCCAAATACACACACACACATGCAGAAATGTGTCATCACCCAGGAAGGACCAGCTGAGCTCAGCTTCACCTGAGCCTACTTGTGAACACCTTTCTCACTGAAGCCACAGAAAACTCAAGAGGGCAGAGACAGATCAGACCATCAGGGCAGGGAGGAGGGAGGAAGGAGAAAGAACAAAACCCTTGGTGGGCTGGCAGGGCCCCGAACTTACCGGTTCCTGAAAGTAGAGCTGGTAATTGAAGGCAGGGTTGGCCTTGATGATCTCCATGGAGGACACTTTGGGATTTGACGGCATGAAGGGAGTATTCAAACTGGCCACTGCCCTGTGGGTAGAAGAGGCGTCAAGACACAGACCCCATAAGAAGACAGTCTGCAAGGACCAGAAAGAATCTTATGTGTCAAAACGTGAGCTCGGAGTGGTGGAGTGCCACATACATGATCTCACTCCAGCAGTGCATGGAGAACTGGACCTAAAACTAAACCACCCTTCTTGACTCTCCAGGCCTATGTTTGTTTGTTTTTTTAATTTAATTTTTATTTATTTTATATACCCCAATATAAAACCAAAGACATTTTTTACTGGGGTATGACCAATTAACAATGTTGTGGTAGTGTCAAGCGGACAGCAAAGGGACTCAGCCTTACATATACATGCATCCGTTCTCCCCCAAATTCCCCTCCCATCCAGGCTGCCATGTAACATTCAGCAGAGTTCCCTGTGCTGGACAGCAGGTTCTTGCTGGTTATACATTTTAAATATAGCAGTGTGTACACGACCTTCCCAAAGTTCCTAATATCCCTTCTCCTCGGCAACCATAACTGTAGTATTTCTCACCTACTTGCCTTCGACAAAGACAGCCACACAAGCATGCCCTCATGTATGTTACATGCAGTATATCTATCTCGATTAGAATAACAGCATAGCGTAATCTTTCTCTAGTTTTAAAAACAGTCATTTTTCCTTCCTTCCTTCACTCACTGTTTCCTCTGTGTGGAGTGTAATTCCATGCCACATACCAGGGGAGAGAAAACATAAAACCAATACTCCAGGAGCTTCCTGTGGTCTAACAGGAAGCATAGACAAATACATGCATCTGTGCTCAGTCCTGTCTGACTCTTTGCAACCCCATGGACTGTAGCCAGCCAAGCTCCTCTGTCCATGGGATTTCCCAGGGAGGAATAGTGGAGCGGGTTGCCATTTTCTTCTCCAGGGAATCTTCCTGACCCAGGGATCAAAGCTGGGTCTCCTGCACTTCAGGCAGATTCTTTACCATCTGAGTTACTAGGCTTCCCATAGGAATAAAAGAGAGGGTGAATTTGAAAGATCCCATGAATGTAGAACTAACAGAAGTTGGCCAGGAACACAGTTAGCTTGGCTGGTTGGCAAGAATTCCATATCCCACTCTTACCTTGGGGAAACTTTTTCCTACGAAAGAAACAGATATATAGGGTACTTTCTTGGTGGTCCACTGGTTAAAGCTCTGTGCTTCCAATGCAAGGGGTGTGGGTGTGATCCCTGGTCAGGGAACTAACAACCCACATGCCACTAGGCACAGCCCCCCCCCAACAAATAAACAGTTAAAAAAATCCCATTAAATTAAAAAAAAAAAACAGATATATGAAATAAAAACAACAGATATATGAAATATATTTTAAAAAGATATATAAAATATAAGATATATAAAAAATATACCTATTTTATATATAAAATAGGAGCAATGGGATAATCAGGGCAAAAGAAATAATCAGAGAAAGGACTGGTAAGTTTTACTCCATACCAGCCAATAGAAATATAATTCAAACCATATATGATTAAAAATTTTCTCCTGCAGTGCAGGAGACCTGGGTTCAATTCCTGGGTTGGGAAGATTCCCCTGGAGGAGGGCATGGCAACCCACTCCAATATTCTTGCCTAGAGGATCCCCATGGATATAAGAGCCTGGCAGTCTACAGTCCACAGGGTCGCAAAGAATTGGACATGACTGAGTAACTAAGCATAGCACAGTAGCCAAATTAAAACCAGCAAAAAGGAATATGTGAGGTTAATTTTAAACAATATTTAATATTAATTAATTTGATATTAATTTTAATTTAATGTTAACTTGAAACATTAACTTAATATTTAACCCAATATATCAAAAATATTAATAATTTTGATATGTAATCAATATTAAGAATTATTAAGAAGCTATTTTACATTCTTTTTTTCATACTAAGTCTTTGGAATCTGGAAGGCATTTTCTACTTACAGTAATCTCAGTTCAAAACTGGCCACATTTCAAAGGTTCAATAGCCATGATTAGTGCAGGTTATGGTATAAATAAGTTATATTTATGCCTATAGGCTTCTAATGATACCATAGTGAACCCATTTTAAGTGTTATTTAAGTCACAAGTCAAGAAACTGTAACTTTTACTAAATATTCTGGACAGAATGGGGTTTTCTTTTTAATCACTTTGACATATTATTTATTCCATATTAAAAAACATCACTAAATGAGACGATAGCATGTAAATACTTAAAGACTAATTAGTACATATAAACTGCATTAAGATTAGAAAAAGCTGAACCATAGCTCCTGGCAGCAGCATCTTTAGGTGATTGTTAAAGAGAGGATAGAAAACAAACAAGTGAGTACATCCTTATTTTAAATAGGTCCCCAAAGCTTATTTCAGTAGAAAGGCAAAACCACGATTCAAAGAAATATTCCACATCAAATGTTGCTTTTTCTTTTTCCTTCACTCTTTGTCTGAATAGAAAGGCAGTGATCAGTGCTGTCAACAATATTTTTTAATAAAAGATGCTCCCAGACCCAAAGATGCACTGTCCCATTCTCTGGAGACCCAGAGATGTGAGACCCTGAGAGGGTCTCAGCTCCCTTACAACCTCCCAGGAATAAGGTAACAGGGCTGATTTGATGAGCGCAGATGGAGGAGAAGCTACTCCTCCAGAGCCAACAGCAGACATGGTGGAAACAGCACAAGGAAAAAGAAACAGGAAACCAGAGCATGCCTGCGTGTCTCAGATCTGATGTTATTATGCACAAAATTTCACCTGGCTCATGTTTAACTTAAAATTCTCACAGGAGAGAAAGAGACAAAGAGAGAGACTAAGTTTAGTAGAACAACAACAATGTGGAGACCATCTGTTGTTGTTCTATTTCTTTTTGTTCCCTTCAAGAAGCATCTAGGGACTTCCCTGGTGACCCAGTGGTTAAGAGTCTGCCTTCCAATGCAGGGTCTGCGGGTTCAATCTCTGGTCGGGGAACTAGGACCCCACGTGCTGAACGGCAACTGAGTCACAACTAAGGCCTGATGCAGTCAAATAAATAAAAAAGGAAGAAGAAGAAGCACCTAACACAGTCTCCAGAGTAACTTTTGGTGAAACTGATTCTTAAGAGCTGATTTCTTACCTTGCTTTTGAATGAGAGAGAGAGAACAGAGAGAGAAGCTGACGAGATCAGAACAGAGCACAAAAACTTTAAAACTATTTTAGGAAATGTTTGATTTTTTTCTGGTCTTTGAGAGCACCCAACTGTTTGAACTGGGGTTGAACTGAGCATAAATATCTTGAAAGTTTCTTGAGTGTTTCCATTTGTATAAACTCTGCCAAATAAAAAGTGATTGGGTGAGTTAGGGAAACAGAGAGGACTGCTAAGGATGATGTTTTAGTTAATTTGCTAAGATCCAAGGCTGAAATGGGAGGTCAGACAGGCTTTAACTGCAGTTACCAACTCAAGTGGTGTGTGGCCACAAAGACCGCCTGACCCTCCAGGTTCAAAGCAGATCATCTGAAAGCTCCCATGGGTGCCCTGAAATGCCATTCTGCAATGATTATGAGTGATGTGATCAGGATCATGAAATATCACTCCAACCTGACTTCCGTACAGCATTCTGCAGGTGGAGTAGCCGTGTGTGTGTGTGTGTGTGTGTGTGTGTATGTTCAGTCGTTCAGTCATGCCAGCTCTTTGCAACCCCTTGGATTGTAGCCCTCCAGGCTCCTCTGTCCATGGGATTCTCCAGACAAGACTACTGGAGTGGGTTGCCATTTCCTCCTCCAGGGGATCTTCCCAGCCCAGGGACTGAACCTGTGTCTCCTGCAGCTCCTGTATTATCAGGCAGATTCTCTACCACAGAGCCACCTGGGAAGCCCTGGAATAGTCGGGTAGGAGTGGCAATCACCACTTTGTGGTTGAAGAAACCAGGGCCTAATGGGTGAAGTGAGTTGTCACATAGCCAGTGTAGGGCAAAATCGAAAGCTGAGTTTTCTGACTCCGACCAGGGCTAAAGTCTCTCCTGGTCCTCAATTCTATGAAGCTGACATCCCTGCTACCTCACCCACTCCCCTCCAAGTCCACCCTCATGGTCCTGCATTCTGGCTGCCTGGGCGCTGCATTATTCACTGCATTACTGGTGACTGAGACAGGCCTTGTGCCTAAGACATTAGCTCATTAAACTGTCCCTATTAAGAAAAGGAATATTTTCTGCCATATCAGTAAACAAAGGATGTTAGTCATCAGCAACTGCAACCCTCCAAAGTGAGCAGGTGAGGCTTGAGGGAACTCAGGAAAGAAAGAATACCTATCATCTAGGAGCCACCAGACTGCAGCCACTCCCTGTGCTGAGCCCTGAGAAAACTCAGGATGTAAAAACAGCATGCCGGCCTTACACAGCTGAAGTTCGTGCCAAAGGAATTTCAGCGAGCCCAGACTCTTGCATCTTCCCATACATGGAAAAGTGCTCAATCCCCTAACTTGAGACATCTCATTTTAATTAACAATCAACTTAAAAAATTATTGGAAGATAATTGCTTGACAATATTTTGCTGGTTTCTGCCATACATCTGCCATCTGTTGCAAAACTGCTGTGCAACCCGGCTCCCCCTCACCTCCTCAGAGCAGTTTCTCAGAGCTATCTGAAACACTGTCTCCAGGCTGCAGTCCTCACTTTGCTGCAAATAAAACTTGCAACACTTGAGTTGTGAAAAATTTTTTCAGTGCCACTCACACACCAGTGGGCTAAGGGAATAAAGTTTTACCTTCTCAGATAACAACCTACCATTTTCAAGATGTTTTCTGGAACTCAAGACCCGAGGAAGCATTTTAGGGAATTCAAGTCCAGTCTGACCCAAACTATTGATGACCATTGCCTAATTACCTCACTCTCTCAGGGTGGAAGAGAGCGATGGACCACACCAGCATGCCGCCCCAGTCATGGCCAATGAACACAGCCTGAGAGATGCCCTAGGAGGACAAAGAAAGGGGAAGAGTGTGAGCAGGTTCCTGGGATGGGGGATAGGTGCTGAGAGCTGGAGGCCTGGTTCTCCCCTGAGGTCCAATCACAGCAACTACTTCCAATGTCCACTGTCTTGAAACCTCTGTCCCCACATGTGGACCCCACAGACCTGCCACACAAATGACTGGCCTTTTAAATATTCTTGGAAGACTGAGGCCACTGGCCATGAATTCCCTATCTACCTTCTCTCCAATCAAAAATTTTTTCACCTTTTTTCCTCCTATTTGTCTTAAAGTTAGAATGACTCCCCTCCCCTCCCGTGCTCTTCTCCCATTGAGTGGTTATTATTCTGTTCCCCATTCTTTTGGGATCTTCTCTCCTCTAAGTAGCCAGGAGAGCCTCAAAAGCATCTTTTATCTCCTGATTTCTCCCTTCATCTTCCTCTTCTCTGCTGCTGTAACCACGAATGACCACATTCCCTTCCATGGAAGACCTACTGTGTCACAGGCTCTTCTAACACACATTTTGCAAATGAGAAGACAGCTCACAGTGGTCAAGAGACTTGCCCACACTGCATGGATGATAAGTGGTGGAGGTCCCAGGTGGAGGTCAGACCCAGGTCCCCCAACCTAAGGACTTCCCAGGTGGTGCTAGTGGTAAAGAACCCACCTGGCCAATGCAGGAGACATAAGAGATGTGGGTTCAATCCCTGAGTCAGGAAGATCCCCTGAAGGAGGGCATGGCAACCCACTCCAGTATTTTTCCCTGGAAAATCCAATGGACAGAGGAGCCTGGTGGGATAGTCCATAGTGTTGCAGAGTTGGACACTACTGAAGTGACTTAGCATGCACACAGCCCCCAACCTAAAATTGGGCTCCTTCCTCTATCCTACCTACTCATTACATTTAGGGCCTTCAGATCCTTCCCAGTCCCACTAGAAGGAAGTGGGCAAGGCACAATCATTAAAAGAATGATACAACCATTGAGAACAGGATATCACAAAAATCTGTTAGAACGTGCTAGGCCCAAGATGGCAAAAGGTTCGACCTTCAGTAGACCTTGAGCCTCATTATATGCTCAAACATTCCAAACCACGTTAAGTGGAGGCATTAGATTTTAAATATTTCAAAAGGGGTGTAATGTTTTAAAAGTTGTGTAATATTGTTGTTCAGTTGCTAAGTCATGTCCAACTCTTTTGTGACCCCATGGGCTGTAGCCCGCCAGACTCCTCTGTCCATGGGATTTCCCAGGCAAGAACACTGGAGTGGTCTACCATTTTCCTTCTCCAGGGGATCTTGCTGACCCAGGGGTCAAACCCACGTTCCCTGCATTGGCAGGTGGATTCCTTACCACCAAGCCACCTAGGAAGCACTGTGGGAATATTAGGATATTTTCCAAACTTCTTAACCTGGCACTTAGGCTCTCCACCTAAGTTGGCTTAAAGCCAACAAAGATATCCTATCCCTCGGAAGATGCTTCTCATAAAACAAGAACCAAAACAAATTCATCTGTGTATTCTCCAAACCTGTCTTTGTGGTCCCTTCCCACCCACCACCCCCACTTCCCCGGCCTGTGCCACTCCCTTCAGAGCTCTGACAGATGACAGCTTCTAGGGTTATATCTTTTCTTTAACTGCCCAGCCCCAAACAGAATTCTCCAAAGAGATCAGTTCAAGATAATTAACTTACCAACTTATCCAGGAAGGTGATCATATCCTAAGAAAGAAAACACACAGCAAAATCAGAACTGTGGCCATCCAACTCAGCAGCTTCAAGGTTAGAATTACTGTGTTTGCCTTTGTTACAGTCTGAATTGTGTCCTCCCCACCCCCAATCCCACCCCCAAATTCATATGCTGAAGCCCTAACCCCTGGTAGTTCAGAATATGGCTGTATTAAATATCTGAAGGTAGAGTCATTTAAAAAGTGATGAAGTTAAATGGGGTCATTAAGGTGAGCCTAATCCAATATAAAAGGGAAAACAACTATGGCTTCCTGTTTCTCAGCCCTGCTTCTCTGAAAAGACTCCCTTGTCACACCATCTCTGCTGTCTGAGCCAACGCGAAGGGCCTCTGCTCAGTACAATGAATCTGCAGAGCTGCATATATGGAGCCCATACGGGTGGGGCCCTGAGCCAATAAGATTAGTGTTCTTATAAGAATAGCCCCGGACAGCTGGTTCTCTCTCCCTGCCGTGTGAAGACACAGCAAGAAGGCAGTCACCTGCAGGCCAGGGGGGCCCTCATGACAACCTGGGCCTACTGGCACAAGATCCCAGACTTTGAGCCTCCAGAAAGGGAAGAAATACACTTCTGTGGTTTAAGCCCTCTGGTCTGTGGTGTCTTGTCATGTAAGCTTGAGCTGACTAATGTACACATTAATGGGGAATTTAGCTGAGGGATTCCCAGAAACTCCAGGACATGCAAAGTGGCAGCACCCATGAGGTTCCTGATGAGGAACCAACAGACTGTCTGATGTAAGAGCATCTCTAAGGGGTGAAGGGTGCAGAACTGTGGTCCAGCTACAGTGACTGGGGTGACCCGAGTCCTCCATCAGCGAGAAAAATGATTAAGGAGGAATGTGGGAAATCAAATAAATGCAGGAACCCCTTTACCTTCTCCTCCTAGCTGATACTGTCCATACCACTCCCTTGGCACTAAAGTTTTATTCATAGCGTCTCTCCACTTCCTTCTTTCTTTATTACTCCCTTGATTTCCGGGTTCTCAGACTGGTTCCTCAGACTTGCCTGAGCATGGACTGCTGTTTCCTGAGTCCACAACTCTGCTTTGGAAGCAACTCAGAGCATGGGCTTTGCTTTTTGGCAACTTACAGAGGTTGTTCACAGGCCAGGAGAAGTCAAGGTCACCAATTTCAGGGCAGCCAGAATCCTGTGCTGTTCCTGGGACTGTTTCATTTCTAACAAGAAATAGCATCATTCTCACAGTTCCCTGAAGGATCTCTGGTCCTGGGGAAATCGTTTCCAGAAGGAAGGTCCTGGATCCATACATATTCTCAGGGGTTGACCCAGGTAACTCTCCACTGGAAAACTCACTAAGTGTACTTTTTCTGTATGACAGGTTGGCTTATACCTGGGCAGGTCATGGTCCCCTCATCCTGCCAGTAAGAAGCATCTGTAATTTTAGCATAACCAGGGGAATCAGCAGTTTTCAGGCCACACAGAAGGCTGTTTCTTCCTCCTGGTCCCTCCAGCCTTTGCTTTTGCTCTAGGGCTGATGGAGGTTTGGGTGCAAGCTCTGAGATGAGGGTCCCCCTCCTAATGGTGCTTATGCCTTAGAATAGGAAGACCACTGCAGTCTCCAGTCCACACACTCACTCCCAGGGTCTGACCAAAAACGTCTTTACCAAAATAAAGTGATTTTTAAAAAATTCTCAGGATGGAAAGGTGATATGGTGGTGTAGTTAAGAGCAGGAGCAGGGGCGCTACTACAGAACTCAAACCTGGCTTTAAAACTGTTGACCTCAGGCAAATTATATGACCCCTCATACTCAATTTCCTCTTCCATCAAACACTGAGAAAAATACTTGATATACAGGGTGTGCGTGCATGCTGAGTTGCTTCAGTCATGACTTTGCAACTGTATGGACTGTAGCCTGCCAGGCTCCTCTGTCCATGGGATTCTCCAGGCAAGAATACTAGAGTGGGTTGCTATGCCCTCCTCCAGGGAATCTTCCCAACCCAGGGATCCAACCAGCATCTCTTACGTCTCCAGCTTTGGCAGGCAGGTTCTTTACCACTAGAACCACCTGGGAAAACCTACTTGATATACAGCAAATGTTGGCTATTATTTCAAAATATTTCAACTTTCAGAAAGAACTTATACCCAAATGCTGTGAAATGCTGCATTCTTAGAACTTAAATCACACTTCTGTTTTTTATCAATGAAAACACAGAATGGAAAAGAAGTTACAGATGTTACCCAAAGACACTTCTTACCTTGCTTAACACTTCCAAGGAATATTCTTCTATTTCTGCAATTATAAATAAAAGAAACATTTAATTTAATTTGTGTGATTAAAAATTACCAACAAACTAAAAAGGCCTCTTTGCAAAAAAAAAAAAATGTATCTTATTACATGATTAGAGTGATACAGTCTGTACAAGGGATTCAGGGAAGATTACAATAGAGATGAATAAAAATAAACACTTAAATAATTAAAGAAAAAACCCTTAGACATCTTTCCTGAATATTTGGACTGAGTCCTTCCTTTTATCTAAAATGCTTCTGTGTCGTTCAAGAGGTAGTAAGCTGAGGCTGAGTTGACATGATGATATTTAGGGAACAATCACAGAGGCACACTCTTGCCATGATAGGCTGAGTGGCCTGGAGGTGGCCCCTGAGTGCCTGAGAGCCCCAGCTCATGTTAGCGGGCTTCCAACTCAGCATAGCAGGGCAATGTGAATGTGGCTGCAGCAGCTCAGGAAAGGGGTGGTGAGCCACTGCCTGGGCTCACTAGGCTGCTAAGAGCATCCTTGACGACAGAGGGACCAGCGACTCTGCTCCACACCTGACTGCTTCCCATTCCCTCCTCCACACGGTATTCTTAAAGGTTGGGGGCTGAGGATCCCTCTGACACTGATAAAGACAATGCACTCTTAGGCAATCCTGTGGTTAAGACTTTGTCTTTCAAGGCAGGGGGTGCAGGTTCGATATCTGGTCAGGGAGCCGAGATCCCACATGCCTTGTGGCCAAAACACCAAAAACATAAAACAGAAGCAACGTTGTAACAAATTCAACAAAGACTTTAAAAATTGTCTTAATAAAAAAAAAAATCTTAAAAATATAATGGATTCCTCTCTTCCCAGGGAAAATGCTCATAAACCCACACGTGGTCTCAAGGGTTCACAGGCCCTGACATCATCAGATGGGCTCCCACTAGGACCCATAGATGCTGGGTTAAGTAAGAATCTGGCCTACAAATTACTGTATGATTCAGCAATTCCACTTCTGGGTATATATGCCAAAGAACTGACAGGAGGAATGCAAAGAGATATTTGTACACCTGTGTTAATACCCGTGTTAATTGCAGCATTATTTACAATAGCCAAAAGGTGAAGCCATCCCAGTGTCCATCAATCGATGCATGTATAAACAAACTGTGGTCTATTTACACAATGAAATATTGTGTGTGTGTGTGTTCAGTCCCTCAGTGGTGTACGACTCTGCAACCCTATGAACTGTAGTCTGCCAGGCTCCTCTGTCCATGGGATTATTCTGGAAAGAATACTAGAGTGGGCTCCTAGATCCTCTAGGAGATCTCCCTGACCCAAGGGTTGAACCTGCATCTCCTGAGGCTGCTGCATGGGCAGGCATATTCTTTTATCACTGATCTACAGAGCCTCCCACAATGGAATATTACTCACCCCTAAAAAGGAAGGAAATTGTGATACAGGATATAACATGGATGAACCCTGATGACATTATGCTAAGTGAAATAAGTCAATTACAAAAGGATGGATACTGTATGATCCACTTAGATGAGGTACCTGGTCAAGTTTATAGAATCAGAGAGCAGAAGGGAGCTTGTGTGGGAACTCAGGGGAGGGAGAATGGGGAGTCACTGGTTAATGGTACAGAGATTCAGTTCTGCAAGATGGAAAAAGAAGATGGATGGTACCAATTACACCCTATATCCTCAATGACTCACAGGAGACTCCCTTGGGGGCACAGATCGCTGGGTTTCTTACATTCATTCAGAGTATGAGGACCAGAGTCATCTGGGGCCCAAAGTGCGCAGACATGGACACTGCAGGAGCTGGGAGGGGAAGGGGGCAGTCAGACCTCCTGGAAGGGCTGCCTGCTCTGACATGGGAACAGGTGAAGACAGTGCAGTTGGAGAGCTCAGTCAGTCAGAGGGCATGACCAACGCAGGAACAGCTGTAAAACAGCTAACTCACCAGGAGGAGCAGAGGACTCTCCGTAGCCTTTCATGTCCACAGCGAGGACCCGGAAGCCCGCCTGGGCCAGAGCAGGGATCTAGAACACAAACATTTCAGACCCCCTCTGGTGTGGCCTCATCAGTATTTTTTGGACACTCCCTCTTTGCTTCTTATAAATGGCTCGGTTCTAAATGCCACATGACACTACCTGGAATCCTTGCCATGGGGTTGGAATCTCACTGTGATGGGGCTGCCACGGATGGTGGTAGGGTTTGTACACTGCACCTAATGCGCCTCTGCACCTACCAGAGAGAGCAGCTTTCCTAGCAAAGACCTTGCAGATTTCTGTACTCACTACAGAGACTTCCCAGCAGGTGGCATAAAGCATCTTGAGGAAATCTACCTTTATGAAATCTGCAAAGGGAGTATAGGAACCAGCATAGCTCTGAGCTCGGAAGCCATCTCTGACCCCAATATTTCAGAGATATCGTGGTCATCCTTGGGAGACGATGCTCCACAGCAAGGTGTCAGCTTCTTAATGGTATCTAAGGCTGGGTCACACCATCTTCTCTTCCCTCACCTGACCGGGGTGTACCTTCTCCCAACTTCCCTTACCTGGTACCTCCAAGAGAACCAACTCTCAGGAAATCCATGGCAGAGGCACACGACAGGGCCGGAGCCCAGCTCCACAAAATGCAGACGCACCCCAGGCTGTCGAAGAGAGAGGGCAGCAGGGAGTGATCACAGCCTGCAGGCCAGAGGGAACCGACGCCTCTTCCCCAGACCTCACGGCCATTTCAGCGTGCTGCCAGACCACTCGCGCCTGGCCTGGCTTTCTCAGCGAAAACCCCCAATGTTAGAAGAAAATGTCTGAGAAGAGACAAATGGCCAAACTGTGCAACAGAAATAGGCAGCTTCACCAGAACAAGAAAAGCATGAAAAGAAGATCATAATGTCAATCCCAAAGAAAGGAATTGCCAGAGAATGCTCAAATGTAATGCACAATTACACTCATGCACATGCTAGTAAAGTAATGCTCAAACCTCTCTGAGCCAAGCTTCAGCAATACGTGAACCTGAATTTCCAGATGTTCAAGCTGGTTTTAGAAAAGGCAGAGGAACCACAGATCAAATTGCCAACATCCGCTGGATCATCAAAAAAGCAAGAGAGTTCAAGAAAAACATCTATTTCTGCTTTATTGACCATGCCAAAGCCTTTGACTGTGTGGATCACAATAAACTGGAAAATTCTGAAAGAGATGGGAATACCAGACCACCTGATCTGCCTCTTGAGAAACCTGTATGCAGGTCAGGAAGCAACAGTTAGAACTGGACATGGAACAACAGACTGGTTCCAAATAGGAAAAGGAGTATGTCAAGGTTGTTTATTGTCACCCTGCTTATTTAACTTATATGCAGAGTACATCATGAGAAATGCTGGGCTGGAAGAAGCACAAGCTGGAATCAAGATTGCTGGGAGAAATATCAATAACCTCAGATATGCAGATAATACCACCTTTATGGCAGAAAGTGAAGAACTAAAGAGCCTCTTGATGAAAGTGAAAGAGGAGATGAAAAAGTTGGCTTAAAGCTCCACATTCAGAAAACTAAGATCATGGCATCCAGTCCCATCACTTCCTGGCAAATAGATGGGAAAACAGTGGAAACAGTGGCTGATTTTATTTTCCTGGGCTCCAAAATCACTGCAGATGGTGATTGCAGCCATGAAATAAAAAGATACTTACTCCTTGGAAGGAAAGTTATGACTAACCTAGACAGCATATTAAAAGGCAGAGACATTACTTTGCCAAGAAAGGTCCTTCTAGTCAAGGCTATGGTTTTTCCAGTAGTCATGTATGGATTTGAGAGTTGGACTATAAAGAAAGCTGAGCACCGAGAAATTGATGCTTTTGAACTGTGGTGTTGGAGAAGACTCTTGAGAGTCCCTTGGACTGCAAGGAAATCCAACCAGTCCATCCTGAAGGAGGTCAGTCCTGGGTGTTCATTGGAAGGACTGATGCTGAAGCTGAAACTCCAATACTTTGTCCACCTGATGCAAAAAGCTGACTCATTTGAAAAGACCCTGATGCTGGGAAAGATTGAGGACAGGAGGAGAAGGGGACGACAGAGGATGAGATGGTTGGATGGCATCAATGATTCAATGGACATGAGTTTGGGTAAGCTCCAGGAGTTGGTGATGGACAGGGAGGCCTGGCATGCTATGGTTCATGGGGTCGCAAAGAGTCGGACACAACTGAGCGACTGAACTGAACTGAACTGAACTGAATGTAGGAAAACAAACTGACTTTGCCTTCCTCTCTAAAAGGCCCTCATCCTGTCAGGGTTTCTGGTACCATATGTATTGCATATTTTAAACTGGGGGCTGGGGCTTTCCAGCCACTAGGTGGACCACCACTAGGTGGTCTAGTGGTTAACAATCCTCCTTGCAATGCAAGGGACACCAGTTCCATCCGAGGTCTGGGAGGATCCCATATGCCACGGGGCAACTAAACCCATGTACCACAGCTAATGAGCCTGCACCCTAGAGCCCATGCTCTGCAACAAGAGAAGCCATGGCAACAAGAAGCCTGAGCATCACAACTACACAGTAGCCCCCACTTGCCGCAACTAAAGAAAGCCCTCGAACAGCAACAAAGACCCAGCATAGACAAAAATAAAATCAATCAATTAATTGAAAATAAAGTAAACTGGGGCTGATCTTGTGCAGGGCATAATATTCACATGAAGGTGCAGAACACCGTGATTGTTCTGTTAAAAGCTGTTTGTCTCCTGAATGTGAATTTTTCCCCCAGCTTTGCTATGCTTCTGGCCTTTCGTGGACTACACAGGTGTGCCCAAGCCTGCTCGGGCTGAAAATCCACCTTCTCCTCTTCTCCTTGGCTCTTGTTGACATTTTCCAGGCCTCTCCCAACCTCCTTGCAGCGGGCATGGCCGTGTGGCTGGCCAGCGCCGCCTGAGTGCAAGAGCCCTGCGCTCCCTCTGGGCCATAAACCTCTCCTGCACCTGCTTCCCCCTGGCCTTTCCTAGCTGTACCCGAATGGACTGGACCGTGAGGAAGGAAGAACCTGCAAAAAGAAGAAGCCTGGGTGCTTGAATGACTGTGAGGAGACAGCCCACTCCCAAACCACACCGGATTGTGCTGCCAGACAGAAACAAACTTGGAGTCAAGCCATTCAAAGTGTGGGGCTGTTTATTATAGCACCGAGCCTACTCTGACCATTACAGCAGGTCCAGGGTCCAGGCAAAAGAGATAAAGCAATATATAGTCAAAGCACCCTATTTTCCCCTCAAAATACATATCTTTAAATTCCTAATGGAAAAAAAAAATAAAAAAAAAAAAGCTCCATCTTATGGAAATCTACTTGGAACGACTCTATTTCACTGCATCTCATACAACTCCAAGGTGAGCATTCCAAGCTGGAAGTTTCACTCATAATTCCCAATGAACTATTTTGCTCAAGAAAACATTAGGCTGATGTTTCACAAACTGTTTCATGGACAATAGTCTTTTTTTTTTTTAATCAGAATATGGTCTATAGTCTTTCCTTTAGTACTTGGCAAAGAAAGGGAATTGAACTTTTTTGTTTAGGTAACAGTTAATATGCTTTCATTTGTAAAACTTGAATTTTATATGTAAAATTGTTGTTATTTAGTCACTAAGACATGTCTGACTCTTTGGCGACCCCATGGACTGTAGCGCACCAGGCTCCTCTGTCTACGCTATTTTCCCGAGCAAGAATCCTGGAGTGGGTTGACATTTCCTTCTCCGGGAATTGAACTTTAAATTCTATACTCCTTTATATTGAAAAATGTTACAGTGCTGTTGCCCAGTCAAATGATCCTAACCGCCCTCTTTCTTAATGGATCTTAACTAAAAGGTTTGTTCTTTCAGCTGAGTAGCTCAGCGAACACATGCACTTTCCCATCCTTTGAACAACTTGTTAACACAAACTGTCATTAAGCCAGAAATCGGAGATCTATTATTAGCGCATTTTGAGTTTCATTGACATCAAGGCAACAGTACCCTCAGAGCCTGGGTTCCCCAGAGGCCACTACCCCAGTCCTTAAGTTTGGGGTGAGGCCAGAGGAGGTGGTTAGGCAGCTCTGAATCATACTCCTTCAAGGTCAAATAGGAATCTATTGAAACTGGCTGGATATGCAAACATCAGGAGGATTAAGAGAACAAACCCTATCCATAGGGTTGGAGATGCAGGGTCACAGCCCAGATCCCAGACCCAGGCAAGGAGCCCCTCATGCTGCTTCAGTATTAGAGATGAGGTCTGGAGGAAGCTTATGAAACCTTCACCACTCCAGGAGTACCCAGGACAGTACTCACTGATGCTCACCAGAAACGCCCTTTCTCACTGTTCAAATCCCACTCATCCTCTGATGCCCGCTTCGCCACAGAGCCTCATCCCCAGCAATTACATTATAGTCACTTTCTCCACCCCCATAGAGCCCATTCTGAGTACCCAAGTCACTGTCAGTAGGGCCACATCCCGTGATGTTACCATGGGAAATATTTTCCTGGCAGACTGCAGACCGCACAAGCCCCAAGGTCATGGAAGACCTCCATTCATCTAGGTTATTTCTTGGGGTGTCGAGCAAACAGAGAATGTTCCCTGAATATCCCTGCGGCTCTCCTCCAGGGCATCAGCCACCAACCCCCACCCCCAGGTCCCAGATCTGCACAGCTCAGGACACCTGCTCTCTTTGTCCTCAGCTGTCTTGTTTGTGGAGCGTGAGGCACTACACCCCATGATCAACACAGGATATTTCAGTTAATCCTTATAAGAACCCCGAGACCAGGTGTTATCACCATCACATCACATAGCTGTGTATACTGAGGTTCAGGACATTAAGAAATGTACCCACGGGAGGGGGGACCGGGATGGGGAATACATGTAAATCCATGGCTAATTCATTTCAATGTATGACAAAAACCACTGCAATGTTGTAAAGTAATTAGCCTCCAACTAATAAAAATAAATGGAAAAAAAAAAAAGAAATGTACCCACATTTGCAGACTTAGTAAGTGCCAAAGCAGGATTCTAACTGGTTCTTTCTGGCTCCAAAGAAACTGCTGGGTTTTGTTGTGTGTGTCAGCTAATCCATAGCTACAAGTGCTTTCTTAGTTAAATGGTCACAGTGCCAAATGAAGAAGGATCCCAAAATGAACCTGAGTAGATGTCCCAAAGCCCTGCCCTGTATTCTGACTGGGTCGGAAGTCAGGGCCCCTCTGCACATGGCCTTGGTCTTGCCATAGCCCTGATCCCTGGGCTTAAAACTGGCTGTCTCCCTCTTTGTCTTTCCCCTGCAGGTTCCCCAGGACCAGTCTGGTGCCTCCCTGCACCCTTCATATCTGGCTCATGCCTGACACAAAGGAAGGCCCCAATCACACCCGCCAGATGAATTAATGAAACTAAGTGCCAGACACACAGACTGTGCAGGCCGAGCAAGGCCCCCATGTGGCCTGTTGTTTGGTGGGAATCTGACCACACTGGCCCACATCTGTTGTTGAGTTTTAAGGAATGATGCTTTTGTTGTGTTGTTGTTTAGTTGCTAAGTCATGTCCAGTCTTTTTTGACCCGATGGACTATATAGCCCACCAGGCTCCTCTGTCCTTGGGATTTCCCAGGCAAGAATGCTGGAGTGCATTGCCATTTCCTCCTTCAGGGGATCTTCCTGATCCAGGGATCCAATCCACATCTCCTGTATTGGCAGGTAGAGTCTTTGTCACTGAGCTGCCAGGGAAGCTGGATGCTTGTGGGAAAGGCCTTTACCCTATAAATGGTGGGTGTGCAGCTCCCTGGGAGATTTCACAAATGTCTCATGAGTCGTCTTACATGGGCCGGCTGGAGAGGACTCGGCTGACGGCGAGAGCACACGGACTCACCTTTATGGGCACGTATCCATGGGTCATGGTGCTTGGATCACATGAGATGGGCAGGGGGGCTGCAGTCTGGAGAAGCTGAAAGTAAGAGATGCACAGTAAGGGAGACGGCTCTGCTTCTGTCCACAAGAAGACCTCTGAGTTCACAAAGTATTGCAAGACAGCCCCAGGTTGTGCCATGGCCTCCTGGGCCGACCAGGTGACTAACCTACTGGCCCCCTCTCCCCCGGGGTCACAGCCAGGCTTCACTCCCTCCATTTCCCCTCAGGTCAGCAGAGTCTGGTAACTGAGTTCTGGCCAATGGGTAGCAGACAAAAGAGTATGGCCCATGCAACTAGAGGTGATCATACTGAGAGAAGCAACTCAGACAAAGACAAATACCATCCTGTCACTTACAGGCAGACTCTAAAATGCGCACAAATGGACCTGTCTGTGAAAGAGAAACAGACTCAGACAAAAAGAATAGACTTGTGGTTGCCAGTGGTGGGGGTGGGGGGAAGAGAGGGATGGATTGGGAGTTTGGGATTAGTAGATGCAAACTATTATATATAAAACAGATTAAACAACAAGGCCCTACTATATAGCATAGGGAACTATATTTAGTGCTGTTGTGTAGTCGCTAAGTTGTGTCTGACTCTTTTGCGATCCCATGGACTGTAACCCACTAGGCTCCTCTGTCCATGGGATTTCCCAGGCAAGGATACTGGAGTGGGTTGCCATTTCCTTTTCCAGGGGATCTCCCCAGACCAAGAATCGAACCTGCATCATCAGGATTGCAAGAGGATTCTTTACCGCTGAGCCACCAAGGAAGCTCATGGAAAAGATTTTAAAAATGCAAGAAAAATAAAAGAAGAAGAGCATGGTCTGACCACCAGACCTGTGAAAATCCACATGCGAATAATGGAGGGAGTAGACTGTGAAATTCACCTCCTTTTAAACATGGAAGAGTCTGCCTGGGAATCTGTAGAGGGTGAGACTGGTGAGTCTCCACCTATGCAGTGTTCAGAAAGGACCCAGGGTGTGGTGGCAGGGACGGTCAGCTGGGTGCCTCTGACAGTGATGAGGGAGTCAAGACAGCCCCCAGGGCCAGTGTACCCTGCAGTCCTTTTTCTAATGTGTCCCCAACTTCCCAGGTCACACACTAGGGGGTGTCTCCCTGATTCCATGGGTGGGAAAGGTTCTTACAAACACATGGTTCTCCCGTGTTTTTGTCCACCTTATAAAGCCCATTCATGACTGATTCTCATAGCCTTCCTGACAGATAAGAGGCACTTCCCTGTTTAAAAAGGAGTGATTAGCATTTTTCCTTACACCTTCCCCGTGCCCCTTTGGAGGACAAGTGGGACATAGCTTACTTTTCCTATTACACAAGGCCGGTGTGTGTGGCTCAGATGTGATGAGGGGATAAATCTCTTAAGTGGGACCAGCAAGTGGCCACTCTAATTCCAGGTTTAGTGCTTCCTTCTCTGCTGCACAAGGCTTCTGGGCTTGCGTAAGGACAAATTAAGCTTGGGAGAGATGCTCTGACATGAAGTCATTGTGCTGCGTGTGCTATGCTAAGTTGCTTCAGTTGTGTCCGACTCTGCAATCCCATGGACTGTAGCCCACCAGGCTCCTCTGAGTCCATGGGATTCTCCAGGCAAGAAAACTGGAGGGGGTTGCCATTTCCTCCTCCAGGGGATATTCCAGACCCAGGGATGGAACCTGAGTCTCCTGCATTGGCAGGTGGGTTCTTTACTACTGAGCCACTCTTAACTCCCCTCCAAAGACCCCTCACAGCACCACTGTGGTCTGGTTTTGTTTTCACCACATGCTTTGTGCGAAGGAGGCACTGCTATTATTGAAGATCTACACTGACTGTGTAAGAGATTAGAAAATGTATTAATATATCTCGGTCTCTGCCCCTGGTGCCTGGCACAGAGCTCCTGAAGCCCTGGTAAATTCTCAAGTAGTAAGAGTGCTCATTGAAAAAGCAAGAGAGTTCCAGAAAAACATCTATTTCTGCTTTATTGACTACGCCAAAGCCTTTGACTGTGTGGATCACAATAAACTGGAAAATTCTGAAAGAGATGGGAATACCAGACCACCTGACCTGCCTCTTGAGAGATCTGTATGCAGGTCAGGAAGCAACAGCTAGAACTGGACATGGAACAACAGACTGGTTCCAAATAGGAAAAGGAGTACGTCAAGGGTGTATATTGTCACCCTGCTTATTTAACTTATATGCTGAGTATATCATGAGAAACACTGGGCTGGAGGAAGCACAAGCTGGAATCAAGATTGCTGGGAGAAATCAATAACCTCAGATAGGCAGATGACACCACCCTAACGGCAGAAAGTGAAGAAGAACTAAAGAACCTCTTGATGAAAGTGAAAGAGGAGAGTGAAAAAGTTGGCTTATAGCTCCACATTCAGAAAACTAAGATCATGGCATCCAGTCCCATCACTTCCTGGCAAATAGATGGGAAAACAGTGGAAATAGTGGCAGACTTTATTTTCTTGGGCTCCAAAATCACTGCAGATGGTAATTGCAGCCATGAAATTAAAAGACGCTTACTCCTTGGAAGGAAAGTTATGACCAACCTAGACAGCATATTAAAAGGCAGAGACATTACTTTGCCAACAAAGGTCCCTCTAGTCAAGGCTATGGTTTTTCCAGTGGTCATGTATGGATTTGAGAGTTGGACTATAAAGAAAGCTGAGCACTGAAGAATTGATGCTTTTGAACTGTGGTGTTGCAGGACTCTTGAGAGTCCCTTGGACAGCAAGGAGATCCAACCAATCCATCCTAAAGGAGATGAGTCCTGAATGTTCATTGGAAGGACTGATCTTGAAGCTGAAACGCCAATACCTTGGCAACCTGATGCAAAGAACTGACTCACTGGAAAAGACCTGGATGCTGGGAAAGATTGAAGGCAGGAGAAGAAGGGGACGACAGAGGATAAGATGTTTGGATGGTATCACCGACTCAATGGAGAGGAGTTTGGGTAGGCTCTAGGAGTTGGTGATGGACAGGGAGGGCTGGCATGCTGTGGTCCACGGGGTTGCAAAGAGTCGGACACAACTGAGCTACTGAACTGAACTGAACTGAACTGAAGAGTGCTCAGAACATCTTTTGTTCTAATGAGGTGACTCTGGGTGGGTTCCTGGGTGGGGGCTGGTCACCAGAAAGACAAAGCCAGGATTAGAAGCTTGGGATTTTCAGCCACCTCCCCCTCCCCCACAACGTCTGGAAGGGGAGGGAGGGAGGAAGGGCTGGAAGTGGAGTTAATAATTGATCGCGCCTACATGAGGAAGTCTCCATGAACATCCACCCAACTCCAGAAGCATGGAGCTCAGAGAGCTTCTAGGCTGGTGAGATCTACACCAAAAGGGTAACATGCCACGACTCCAGGGAGACAGAGGCTCCTGTGTGCGGGATCCTCCCAGAGCTTGCCCTGTGACTCCCTTCATCTGGCTGTTCATCTGTGTCCTTTATTAAATTCTCTTATAAACTGGTTAGGGTTAGGGTTCTCCAGGGGACCTTCCCCACCCAGGGATCGAACCTGGGCCTCCTGCATTGCAGGCAGATTCTTCTCTGACTGAGCCACCAGGAAAGCCCGAATAACACTTTATAAACTGGTAAACAAAAGTGCTTCCCTGAGTTCTGTGAGCCACTGTAACAAGTTAATAGATTTGGGGGTGGGGTCCTGAGATCCTCCAATTTATAGCCAATCGGTTGGGAGCACAGGTGACAACCTGAATGTGGGGTTGGCAAATGAAGTCGAGGGGTCAGTCTCGTCAGACTGAGCCTTAACCTGGGAGCTCTGATACCTTCTCCAGGTAGATGGTGTCAGAACTAAGTTACATTGTAGGCCACCCAGCTCGTGTGGCAGAGAACTGCTTGGTGTGGGGGAAAACCTCCACACATTTGGTGGTAATAAGTGTCAGAAAGAAAGTGTGCGGCAACTAAGACTTGATGCAGCCAAATAAATAAATATATTTTTAAAAGAACAAAAGATGGCTCCTCTCTGGCAGAGCAGGCTAACCCCTAGCAGTCCCCAGCAGCATCTTGGTGGGCCTCCCTGCCTCCTGAGAGAGGAACAGGTTTACTTTGGAGCCTTTCCTCTGACTGCCAACAGGGTGTGACCCAGGTGGAACTAAACCACTATGCCTGAGTGCCAGCAGTATCACCAGGCAGATCAGAGAAGAACAGGGCCCCTGACCACTTCAGGGAGGACTCAGCAGTGACATTCTCGTATTTACTCTGAATGCGTGACTCTGAGGGCCTTGCTCTAGTCTTGGTCCCCTGCCTCTGACCAGTATAGATTCTTGCTCTCCGAGCATCCTTTCCCTGTTCGCTGACTGCAGAGAAGGAAATAGGAAGTTCGTCACAGACATCATGCTGGTTACAGGAAGGGTAACAGTCTCCCACCCAGCAGGTCCTCACCTGGAACCCCGCGTGTTTTGTTGAGCGTGGCTAAACACAGGCAAGTGAGGAAGTCCGACTCAGCATAGACAGAAAGTTACCTGCACCCCAGCTACTTTCTCCAGCTCCTTCAGGGCCGTGTCAGTGTCGTGGACGAGAATGGTGACCGTCCCCATCTCATGGGCTGGCTTCAGATTAGTTTCGAAGTTATCTAAGAAAACCACCTGAATGAAAGAGCATGGATGGTAGTGTCAGTTTGATCAAAGCAAAACTCAACCATGAGGACCACTAGCCTGAAATATGCTACAATGTGGACAGTGGCTGAGGTTGAGAATTAGTAATCTCAGGACTTCCCTGACAGTCCAGCGGTTAAGACTTTGTCTTCCAATGAAGGGGGTGCGGGTTCTATCCCTGGTCAGGGAGCTAAGGTCCCACAAGCATCTCAGCCAAAACACCAAAATGTAAAACAAAATCAGTGTTGTAACAAATTCAATAAAGACTTTAAAAATGGTCCATATAAAAAAATCTTAAAAGAAGAAGAAAAGGATTAGTAATCTTGTGATCAGATTGATAAAATACTGAGTTATTTTTCTCCCCATGTAATTGTTCACTCTTAAAATTAATTTTGTAATTAATTATGTAAGCATACATATAAACACATAGTTAGATACACATGTTCCCTGAATCTGAAACTGTAAGATGAAAGAAGCATATAAACTTACCAGATGAAACTTAAAATTCCTCTAGGAAAATCAACATGTATGAATAGACCCCCTCCAAAAAATGTCTGGAATAGACCTATAATAAGGTCAGATAATAAAAGGTTTCATAAAATATGAAGCTACAAAAGGTGGAAGAAAAGGTTTTGTTCTCGAAAAGAAATAAACATATTAACGAAATAGAAGAGTCTAGGAATAGACTCACACACAAATGAGAATTTAGTTTCTAATAAAAGTGTCATGCCAAGTTGGTAAGGAAAAGGATTACTTAAAAGATTAATTATTTCAACTGTTTGGGGGGAAGAAAGGTTATTCCTTCCTTCACTTATTCCCTATATAAATTCTGAATAGATCAAGTCTAAATTTCAAAAAAAAAAAACCAATGATCCTTTGGCACTTCCCTGGTGGTCCAGTGGTTAACAATCTGCCTGGTGATGCAGGGGACACTGGTTAGATCCCTGGTCAGGGAACTAAGATCCTACATGATGCAGAGCAACTAAGCCTGACTGCAACTACTGAGTTCACACGCCACAGCGAGAGAGTCTGCGTGTCACAATGACCTGCTTATGGGTGAAAGGGGCCGACGAGACAGCGTCAGAGAGGAATTTTCTCTCGGTCCAACCACCTTCGTGGAGAATAAAGTAGTGAAACACAACAAAAGCAACATTTTAGACCAGATAATCTAGAGGCGGCACGAAGGCAGGATTCAGGGGTGCGGGGGTTCCTACAAGAAGACTCCTGCAGTATTGGATCCCCTTCCTGCACAGCCTTTGGTTGGGTGACTGACTAGCCTGTGGTCTTGGGAAAGTCTATGTTTCTTTATAGGAAAATGCAGGCAGCTGGTCTGGCAGCTTTGGACAATAATGACTGTTTTAACCAAGCTCTGCAGGTTATCTTCCCGACCCAGGGATTGAACCCGGATCTCTGAAGTCTCACTGCATTGGCAGGTGGGTTCTTTACCACCAGCGCCACCTGGGAAGCCATTCTGAATGGTCTGGACAATAATGCCTGTTTTAACCAAGGTCCTGCAAGAGGCACAGAGGTCAACCAGAGGCCCATCTCTGGTAGAACCTCCCAGGCTGAAGGGGCAGGTGAAAACCCTTTAGAAGTCCTGGCCTGGGAGAAGTCGCCCCTGCCACCAGACATTGGACCACTCTGCCAAGTCGCAGGTGTCCCCCACCTGTTCACACTTCTTTAAAGTTTTTTTTTAAATTTATTTGTTTATTTGGCTGCATCAAGTCTTAGCTGTGGCACCCTGGATCTCTCCATTGGGGTGTTCGGGCCTAGTTACCCCACAGCATGTGGGAGATAAGTTCCCCAGCCAGGGACTGAGCCTGTGTCCCCTGCATTGGAAGGCAGATTCTTAACCATTGGAGCCCCCCAGGGAAGGTCCCTCAATTTTTCCTGATTGCAATCACTCTAGAACATTCTTTTCCATTGAAAGGCAATGTCCACGTACCTCACTGGGGCTGGTCTTCAAGGTGTCCAGCACAAACTTGTAGATCTGAGGGTCAGGCTTGACCATTCCAACCTGGCATGACTCAATCAGGAAATCAAAGTGTGGCTTGAGCTCACACAACATCTGGGCCAGGCTGCCTCTCTCAGCGCTGTCATCCAGCCAGTTGTTGGTGAGGATGCAGGTTGTAAATCCTAAGCAAGAAGGCGCCAGTGAATCGGCCAGCTACAGAACTTTGCTCTGAGAAGCTCCGGGTGTCCCACTAAGGGGGCCCAAAGATGGGGCCAAACAGGGTTCTGCTCACTCACATCAATCTCCTGATGCCTGGCTTCTCAACTGACAAGTTGGAAGAGCACCATCTTTACCCATCCACCCTTTCTGATGCAGATGTGAGAGCCAGCTAATGGTGTGCACCAAGGGCTTTTGGATGGAGATGATACAACCCTTCATTCCTTGCAATTGCAGAGCAAGAAGTTGTGACATTTGTCAGCTCATCTGATCAAGGTGTTTTAACTTTCATCAGCCCGTTGGATCCTTACACCTTTGGGGCAGGCAGGGCAGGCCTTAGCATCCCACCTTTACCAACAGGAAAATGAAAGCTCAGACAAATTCTAAGCTGCCCAGAGCCACACAGCACAGGTAGAGCCAAGCAAGGCCTAGAATCCCACCTTCTGACTGCCACTCCAACCCTCCACCCTCCTCCCAGTCCATGTTATTGCAAACTTTGTTAGTGTGTGTGTGTGTGTTCAGTCATGTCTGACTCTTTCCCACCCTATGGACTGTAGCCCTCCAGGCTCCTCTGTCCATGGGATTCTCCAGGCAAGAATACCGGAGTGGGTTGCCATGCTCTCCCTCCAGGGAATCATCCTGACCCAGTGATCAAACCCAAGTCTCCTGCATTGGCAGGTGGGTTCTTTACCACTAGTGCCACCTGGGAAGCCCTTTCCTTCTTTATACCCAACTGCATCTTTACATAAGTGTAATCTTAGTGTTCTGACAGTTTTACCATTCTGCTTTTATTATTTAACCTCCTGTGTAAAGCATTTTGCCATATTTTAAATCATCTTTGTAATTAACAATTAAAATTTCTGTGATAAATAAATAAGTAAATGCCTATAGAATGGACATGACCTCATGTTCTAGACTGTTTGACACCACTTGAACCCATGTCAGCCAGCTCATATAGCTCAACCACTGTGACATGAAGAGGCTGAGAAAATCATGGTTGCTTAAAAGGTCCTGTTTTCGGGACTTCCTTGGTGGTCCAGTGGTTAAGACCATGTGCTTCCACTGCAGGGGCTGTGGGTTTGATTTCTGGTTGGGGAACTTAGATCCTTTGTGTTATATGGCATAACCAAAACAAAATAAAATAAAAAGGCTTTGTTTTCTAATCACTGTGACAAGAGGTTGGGTCATTCAGGTCATTACTGGTACCATGGTAGGGGGAGAATTTTGTTCATGAGGCATAAATTGCCAATTAAACAAAATTCTTTCTTACAGCTATTCTGATAGTGCTGATTTTGGCCATTTTCTAAAACTTACTTTGGAGCTGTGTTTGAAGAACAGCTCTCCATCTAGGCCCAGAAGATTCCTGATCTCAAACCACATTTCAACATACTATGACCTGACCTTCCCAACGGTTCTGTTGCAATTAGGTTGGAGAATGGCCAGTATTGGAGCCTTACCCTTCTTTTTGAGAGTGACAGCTGCCTGAAGCATGGGGTAGTTGATCTTTCTTGCTGAAAGCACCTTCTCAAAGATTTGCTTCATAGAGAAATTCTCTGGGAGGCAGATTCCAGAGTCCTCGGAGCATTTCCTGCAGTCTTCTTCCATGAGTGGCACCCACTGCAAAAGTGAATTGATGAGGGACTGTCAGTCGGTGCAACCATTTGGGAAAGATTTGGGCAGCACGTACTTAATCTGAACACACACATTGCCTGTGATCCACCAGATCTGTTCCTGGATACACTGTTGCTCGTCACTCAGTCGTGTCCGACTCTTTGCAGCCCCACAGGCTGCGGCACACTGGGCTTCCCTGCCCTTCACTATCTCCCGGAGTTTGCTCAAACTCATGTCCGTTGAGTTGGTGATGCCATCCAACCATCTCAGCCTCTGCCGCCCCCTTCTCCTTCTGCCCTCAATCTTGCCCAGCATCACGGTCTTTTCTCAGCATTAGGGTCCTGTACATATGCCCAGTGGAAATTGTCTACACATGTCAAAAGACATGAGGCAAAGTGTTCTAACAGTGATATTCCCAAGAGCTCCCAATTGGAAACTACTCAAACATCCCTATTATGAGCCTACTTTTGTTTCCTCCAAATTCATGTTGAAGTCCTAGACCCCAGGACCTTGGAATGTGACTGTTGTTGGAGAGAGAGTCTTTAAAGAATCACTAAGGTAGCTCAGATGGTAAAGAATCGGCTTGCAATGCGGGAGACCTGGGTTTGATCCCAGGGTTGGGAAGACCCCCTGGAGAAGGGAATGGCAACCCACTCCAATATTCTTGCCTGGAGAATCCCATGAACAGAGGAGCCTGGTGGGCTACAGTGCATGGGGTCGCCAAAAGTCAGACACGACTGAGTGACTTTCACTCACTCACTTCCCTAAGGTAAAATGAGGTCACCAGGGGCCCTAATCCAATCTGATGGGTGTCCTTTAAAGAACAGGAGATCAGGACTCAGATACACACAGAGGGACCAAAGTGTCTGGACAGGAAAAAGGGGGCCGTCTGCAAGCGGATGAGAGAGGCCTCAGGAGAAACCAGCCCTGCTGCCACCTCGATCCTGGGCTTCTACCTCTAGACCTCTGAGAAAATGAATTTTTGCTGTTTAAGTCACCTAGTCTGTGGCATTTTTTTTAATGGCAGCACAAGCAGGAGACTCGAGTTTGATCCCTGGGATGGGAAGACTACCCTGAAGGAGGAAATGGCAACCCACTCCAGTATTCTTCCCTGGGAAATCCCATGGACAGAGGAGCCTGGTGGGCTACAGCCCATGGGGTCACAAAAGAGTTGGACACGACCAGAGCGGCTGAGCATGCACATACTACAAATTAAAAAGTCAAGGTTGTAGTGATAATAATAACTACTATTTCTTAAGCATTTATTACATGACAAGCACTGTGCTAAGCACTTTCCAATCTTCATAACAACCTAGGAGATGGACAATGTTGTTCATCTCATTTTATAGATGGCAAGACCGACTTTGAGAGCTTCTGTGACTTGGTGTGCTCACACGTCTGTAAGTGGGAGCCGTGACCCACATCCCGTCCCTAGGCTCCAAAGTCCGCCCATCACATAGTTATTAATTAGCAAAACTGCCTCTGACCCAGTGGCTTGGCCTGAAAACAACTACTCTAAGGATGACTACCATTAAAAAAACACACGAAAATATTAAGTTGGCAAGGATATGGAAATACTGGTAACCTTGGGTGTGTTGCGGAGAAATGTGCAGCCACTATGGAAAATCATATGGTGGTTCCTCAAAAAATTAAAAACTGAAACTGCCCTATGATCTACCATCCCACTTCTGGATATACACCCAGGAAAACTAAAAGCAAGGTTTCGAACAGATATTTGTACACTTATGTTCACAGCAGCACTGTTCATGAAACTAAAAGGAGAAAGCAACCCAAACATCCTTTGAAAAATGAATGGATAAACAGAGTCTGGTCTATCCATACAGTGGAATACCATTCACCCTTAGAAAGAAGGAAATGGTGACACATGCTACAGTATGGATAAAACTTGAAGACTCATGCAAAGTGAAATAAGCCAGTCACAAGAGGACAAATATTGCATGAGTGTTAGTTACTTCAGTTGTGCCCTATTCTTTGTGACCCCAGGGACTGTAGCCTACAAGGCACCTCTCTCTATGCGTGGGATTCTCCAGGTAAGAATACTGGAGTGGGTTGCCATTTCCTCCTTCAGGGGATCTTCCCGACCCAGGGATGGAACCCGGGTCTCCTGCATAGGCAGGCAGATTCTTTACCATCTGAGTCAGCAGGGAAGCCCATGTAAAGTATCTGCTGCTGCTGCTGCTAAGTCACTTCAGTCGTGTCCGACTCTGTGCGACCCCATAGACGGCAGCCCACCAGGCTCCCCCGTCCCTGGGATTCTCCAGGCAAGAACACTAGAGTGGGTTGCCATTTTCTTCTCCAATGCGTGAAAGTGAAAAGTGAAAGTGAAGTTGCTCAGTTGTGTCCTAGAGTAGCCAAATACATAGAAAATGCAATAGTGGTTGTCAGGGGCTAGGGGTAAGGAGGGGTGGGAAGTTGCTGTTTAATGGGTATAGAGTTTCAGTTTTTGAAGATAAAAAGAATTCTGGGACTTTCTTGGTGGTCCAATGGATAAGACTCTGAGTTTCTACAGCACAGAGTGTAGGGTCAATCCTTGGTGGGGGAACTAAGATCACACATTCCATGTGACTGAAAAAGGAAGAAAGAAAGAAAATACAACCTATCAACTTTAAAAATTTTTTTAAACAGTTCTGGAGATGGATGGTGGATTTGGTTACCTAAGGTGAATATACGTAACATTACTGCATTGTATACTTAAAAATGATCAAGGTGGTAAATTTCATGTGATGTGTCTTTAACTACAGCTTAAGAGGGAAAAAAAGCTACTCTGGCCGCTGTAATTCCCTGGCACACATTTTCAAGGGCTTGGGGAATTTCCTAGTCACTGGGGCATGCCCCTCTGCTTGGCTCAAAGAGACAGTAAACCAGCCTGAAATGTTTCCACACCAGTCCTGTGAGTTAAGTGTTATAAGAGGTAAATGAATGAGGCAGACGACGTGGCCCTGCCCTCATGGAGCTTATGGTCAGTGGGGGAAGATGGGTGGGTAGGCACAGAACATCTCCTCAAGGGGGTCTATGAGATGTCACTGCACCTGGGAAAATGTGATCTCTCCCCTCATCACACGGGTGCTGGAACCATCCGGGCCTCCTTTCAGGAAAGCTTTACTCAGAAAGCCTCTGTAAGACACAAAGAAACATCGGGAACGTTTAAATGACTTCATCGCAGCAGCAGGTAGGGGACAGACACCTCGATGGTGGACTTCTAGCTTCTGGAATTGCTGTTGAAAACATCCAGTTTGCAGTCCTTCTTTACGGTAACCCTAGCTGATTACTATATTGGTTCATGTTCATCCTGTGTATGTGGCCCAGAGGAGAGGCAGACAGAGAGAGACCAGGTCATTACCTTCTTACTTTCTTACATTACAAAACAAAAGTTTCCATTCCACTTTCTTGATAATTTCTCACCTCCCATGGCTGGCTGGGTGACATCAGACAGGTAGCAGATGGCACATACAACTCTGTTCCCTCAAATTCCTGGCCGATTTTTCTAACCCATCACATCCTATACCACTGCATTCGGACATTGATTTATAGTCCTTCTTAGTATAGTGCTCTAGGCAAAAACTTAGAATGGAATGGAATTGGCAACCCAGTTGAAAGTATTAATATTTAACATTCTGTGTTAAGAGGACAGATATCTGGGAGTTTCATATCTGATAAGTCAACAACCTTTAACCCAACTAATCCTCTTGCAGGTAACAATGATTGACATTAAGATATAACATAAGAAAAAAATCCCTACTATTTATAGCCTTGCTCAATTTTCCAACATCAACAATGGCTTTGACACATCTTTGCCATTGGTTGTCTTTTTTCAGATATGACTTTATGAAATTATACTTACATGTCATCAAACTCACAAGTTTTCATTGTACAAGTCGATGACTTGTAGTAATTTTTGTAGTGGTGCACAAACCTCACTGTGTTGCAGTTTTAGAACATTTCTATCTTCCCTGGTGGCACAGATGGTAAAGAATATGCCTGCAATGGGGAAGACCTGGGTTCGATCCCTGGGTTGGGAAGATCCCTTGGAGGAGGGCATGGCAACCCACTCAGTATTCTTGCCTGGAGAATCCCCATGGACGGAGGTGGGCTACAGTTCGTGGGGTTGCAAAGATCGGACATGACTGATTGACTAAGTACAACACGGCACATCACCTCGAAAAGATTGCTCATGCCCTTCTCAGCTGCCATCCATTTTTAAGAAGCAACACAGAGTTCAACTCAACAATCTTTTATTGAGGACCTATGGCGTCAAGGCATTGTGTCTGGTGCTGTGATAGAAAAATGAAAAAATATGGATATATTCTTAGGGAGCTCCTAGGGGAACAAGTGAGGCAACATATAAACAAATAACTATTACACACTGGATGAGTGAGATGGAAAAGCACAGGGAAGATTGATTTTGCTGCCTGAAATTGGGGGTAGGTAAAAGAAGAGGAATTGAAGGAAGAATGTAGCTGCACAGGAAGGAGAGGTTGATAACTCTATCAGACAAAAGGAGGCAATATTTTTTTATTGGCGTCTCAGAGAAGCAATTGGAGATAAGTTGTTGGCACTGGAAAGCATGACTTTCAAATTTTAAGGTTGCTTAACAAAAGCAGGGAACAGTGAAATGGCTATCACGGAAATGAAACTAGTGAATCAAAAGACCCAACAAAATTTCCGAGGACAAAGAGTAAAATGATGAAGCAATTAAAATTAATGTGCAAACAGGGAGGTCAACTTGGTGCTCTGTGATGATCTAGAGAGGTGGGGGGTGAGGAAGGAGGTCCAGGAGAGAGGGGATATATTTATACACAGAGCTGACTCACTATGTTGTACAGTAGAAGCTGACACAACATTGTAATTATACTTCAATTAAAAAAAAGATTAAAAAAAGAATTAATGTACAAAAAGATAAGGCCTATGGAGGCCAAATTCCTTCAATAAACAAGAAGAATCATAGAAGGAAAGATCAGAAAGCAACAGTCAAAGAAAAAATGGGAGAAGATGTTTCCAGGCTAAAGAAAAATCTGAGTTCTGAAATCAAAGGTGTTCAACCAAAAAAAGTGTTCACCAGTCAAAATTAATGAAAAAATAACCACAGCAGATAGAGGGTGGGGAAATGTTTCAATTCTTGGGATAAGAAAGTCTAACAGACAACATTTTGGGTAAAAAAAACAGACTAGAACAATTCAGACTGACAACAGCTTTCTATGCTTGCAGCTTTAAATGTGAGAAAATGGTGGAGTAATACACACTAGACATTGAGATAAAAAGATGCCAAGAAAGAATGCCCCCCAAGTCTATCCCCAGACAACTTATTTTATGTCCAAGGAGGCGCCTTTGTTTTAGAGATCTTGGTTGATTTTCATAACTGAACAAATGGGCTATTTGTTCTATTTCCATGTTTTAAATTCTGCTCTTGTTTTAAATTCACCAATAAAGAGTGACCCCATGAAACCATGGCCCACATCCTGAACCCCAATAAAAACAGAACCCAGGCCCAGGCTCTCAATCTCCTCATATCCTCACTATGTGGCCCCAGGTGTACTGTGCAATTTCCGGGTCTCATAAGTAAGAAATCTTTATTTTTTTTGAAGTCCCCCAGTGGCTACTGCTGAAAGGTGTCTTGTAATCACAATAAGAACCTCAAGGACTGGCCCAAACAGAACATTGGTTATTGGTAAGCTGAGACCCACACAAATCAGGTTCAGGCAGGGGAAACTAATATAGTAGTTTGCCATCATGCCTTTCCTGGAAGAAAAAAAATATAAGAAAGACTTCCAGTCAACTTAAAGATAGATCAAAATAAAAATCCTGAGAAGAGGAAAGAAATGTTTTAAAAGAAATTGCAACAAACAACTGTCTCATTCAAGAGAATTATCAAATGGCCAGTAAGCACCTAATAAGAAGCTCAACATCATTATTCATCAGAGAAACACGAATTAAAGCCACGGTGACAGAGCACCAGGCGGGGCTCCCTGTGTGATATAGCAACTTCCCACTAACTATCCACTTTACATACAATAGTGTATATATGTTGATACTATTTTCTCTGTTTGTCCCACTCTCTCCTTCCTCCAGGTCTACAAGTCCATTCGCTACATTTGTGTTGCCATTCCTTCCCTGCAAATAGGTTCATCAGTACCATTTTTCTAGATTCCACATTTAGGCATAAATATGCATTTGTTTTCATCTTTCTGACTTATTTCACTCTGTGGGATGGTGGGGAGGGAGGGAGGCTCAACAGGGAGAGCATACAAGTATAATTATGTCTGATTTGAGTTGAGTTGTTGTATGGCAGAAACCGACACAACATTGTAAAAATTAAAAAACAAAACAAAACAAAAAAACCCCAAGGGCTTAAAAAAAAAACCCCACAAACGAACCATGAGAAAACACCATAAACCCACCAGATTTGCTAAATTTAAACAGAATGACATCAAGTACTAATGACAATGTGGAGAAACTAAAACTCTCTTATATTTCTGGTAGGAGCAGGATTTGATACAACTGCTTTAGAAAAATTGTATACCTGCTGAACACTTTTATATTGACAAAGGGCACAAACCTTTGTGCAATAGAGTTACAAGGCACATGATGTTATGCACTGATTAAAATAGTGTGAAAGGAAAACCAAAAGATGCTAGGGAAGACTGAGAGTAGGAGGAGAAGGGGGCAACCAAGATTGAGATGGTTGGATACCATCACCAAATCAATGAGCATGAATTTGAGCAAACTCCAGGAGATGGTGATGGACAGGGAAGCCTGGCATGCTGCAGTCCATGGGGTCGCAAAGAGTCAGACACGACTGAGTGACTGAGCCGTAACAATAATGAACAAGTGAGTGGTCTAGAATGGAGCCAGGAGGCTGCCGAGGACACATGACTTTATACGTCTCAATCTGGGTGAGACCATGTACTGTCCTACGTACAATCCTAGAAGACGTCAGAATACCTGCCAGAAACTCAGGATACGTACTAGACTCCCTCCCCAAAGGGCAACTATTTCCTTTCTTGAATCAGAGCCCAGCCTTGTGGCTTTTGTCTTAATAAGCCCTTGACTCTTTCTCTTCCCCAAAACACTCTCGGTTTTACCCAAATTTGCTTCTCCTGAATTGCAGTTCTTAAGACTCTCAAATCAAGCGCTTTGTTCTTTGCAACCTTGACGCTATTGAAAGAGGGGATTGTACCAAGACAGCACTCTGGGCACTTATCTGTTTCTCTCTCCATCTAAAATACCACTGAAATTACACAAAAGATAGCCTTAAAAGTTAAAAAAAAAAAATCAATTTCAGGAACTCCCTGGTGGTCCAGTGGTTAGGACTCTACGCTTTCACTGCCAGGGGCTGGGTTCAATCCCTGGTCAGGGAACTAGATCCCACATGCCACCCCACAACCAAATAAATAAATATTTCTAAAAAAAGAAGTAGCAGAAGAGATGGTAAGTAAAAAACATAAAACATCATGGTAGAAATCAAAAGTTCCTAGAAATCAAGAAGAAAGTGACAATCAAATACAAAAATGGGCAAATGGTATAAAAAGGTAAATACCAAGGGAAAAAAATACAGATGACCAATAAAAATGGGTAATAGAGAGAAAAATGCACACTGACACAAGATAATGTTTTTCCCTCTATGTCTGGCAAAAATCCAGGAGAGTCATCTCCACCATAGGGAGGATCTGGGCTGGCCTACTCCAGCATAGTCAGGGCAGGCACAGCATTTTTTGGAGAATAGCTTGGCAGAATCAGTCAATATTTTAAATGTAAATACTACTTGCTTTTATTTGGCAACTCCACTTTTAGAAAACTACCCTATGGAAATATGACAGTGACATTATTTATAACAGTGACCACTAACAAAGAAATGTCCACCAACAGGGGAAAATGGTTAAATAAATTATGGAACTTCCATATTGTGGAATACTATGGAGTGGTTAAAAAGAGAAAAGTAGGTGTATGTAAACAAAAAGACATCCAACTGTTGAATGAAATAAAATGGTTAAAATAAATAAAGTTAAAACATAGAACAATACATGTATTAGAATTCTACTGTTTGTTTTAAACCTACCTGTCTACCAACCTACCTACCTATCAATTTATTCATAAATGTGTCTGCATTTGTCAGACTGTGAAGGTAAAATGGGGGATATACCATATATTAAGTAACATCTCCAGGATGACCTGTGGAAGCCTGTGTAGTTAAACTCATGAATATATTTATAGTGAAAGGTTTGACTATTTGAGGTTTCCTAGGTGGCTCAAGTGGTAAAGAATCCATCTGCCAACGAAGAAGAAGCAGGATAACCTGGTTTAATCCCTGGATCGGGAAGATCCCCTGGAGGAAGATATGGCAACTCACTGCAGTATTCTCGCCTGGAGAATCGCATGGACAGAGGAGCCTGATGAGCTACAGTCCACGGGGTCACAAAAGGGTCAGACACGACTGAGAACACACGCATGTGCAAATGTGATTATTTACAGTAGTAGGATAGATAATGGTGATAAATAATCTCATGTTTGTTCAGATCAGACTTGCCACCAAACGAAGCCAGGTCAGATTTTGTTGCCAAAAGATTATAAAATAAATAAAAATAAAACCCCGGGTTTTGTCTAAATGATTTACGTATCAGCTATGATGTTGTCCAGGATGCGAAGAGGAACAAGAAAAAGTGAAGAGGCACTTCTGTTTTCTATCCACAGGCTAATAAGATCAAAAGCATGGACTCTTGACTTCCGGGGTCAGCTAGCGTTGCTGTACTGTTTTGTGACTACTGGAAAAAATCCTCGCCATGGTCACAGAGACGGTGTCTGAGCCAGTGCCACACTGGATGAACAGAATATTCCAGTACATTGGTCTTTCTGTGCATGAGACCTGAATAATGAAAAATGGATCAGGAACACAGTGGTCCACCTGTCAGTGTCATCTAATCTAACCCATACAGAAAATTGAGGGGCGGTATTTTCTGATTTTAAGACTGAGGTCTCAGTTGAGTTAATGTCAGGTTAAGCAAGGTGGCCCAATGCTAAGTGTTAGAACTGAGATTTTAACCTGGGTCGGACTCAAAGTCCAGTGCTGTTTGAAATTCTGTACATTTGTGGGTTCCATCGTGTAATGGTTAGCACTCTGGACTCTGAAATTTTGTCCATTTGTAAACTTGACTACCTGTGACCTGTATACTCACAGATACACTCTCAAGTATATGCACTGGTATACTGACAAGTATTCTTGTGACTTGTACACTGACAAGTCATGTTCTCTCCCCCACTGATGAGGTCACAGGTGTAAACATTTGACATACCTTACTCTTTTTATGTCTTAAAAAAAAAAAAAAACAACTTACAGGCTAAAAAAAGTGAAACAATACCATGGTTAAAAGGACTGCAAGGAAAGGCAATCAAAACTACAGTGAGATATCACCTCACATCTGTTAGAATGACTATTATCAAAAGACAAGCAATAACATGTGCTGGCAAGGATGTGGAGAATGAGAAGCCTGCCTGTACTATTGACTGGAAATGTAAACTGGTGCAACCACAGGGATATTTCGGAAAATTTCTTTCAGGCATCTTCAGCATGTAGCTGTTTTTCCATAGTTTAAATACTTTTTCCATAGTTTCCCTGCTGTATAAACAGTTGTACATTCCGGTGGGTTTGTTTTTCTGCACTTAGATATTTTCTGATGTCACTGAAATCTCATCCTGAGCATTCCGGTTACTGGTTATGCTTCCTAGTTGACCATTTCCCAGTAGTTATGTTTGGGGGCTGTTTCTGCTTTGCTGTTGACACTGTGCAACAACAGGACTTTTTTCTCCAAAAACCTTCAGCGCAGCCCTCTTAAGTGAAGTGAAGGTCGCTCAGTCGTGTCCGAGTCTTTGCGACCCCATGGACTATACAGTCCAAGGAATTCTTTGGGCCAGAATGCTGAGAGGGTAGCCGTTCCCTTCTCCGGGGTGAGCTTCCCAACCCAGGGATCGAATCCGGGTCTCCCTCATTGCGGACGGATTCTTTACCAGCTGAGCGACAAAGAAAGCCCCAGCCCATTCCATTACAGAGAAGTAAGTGGGCAGCAGACACCTCAGGGAGTAATTTCTCTGACTTTAAGAAAAGATTTCAATATAAAAGTCAATTTTGGAGTCCTTAGAGAGTTTTAAATACTCAACATTTAGAAAGACAGTGGATCTACTTAGACACACTGGTATTTGAGGGCCGAATAATTGTTCTAACTTTCCACCCAGCGCTCTCGCCTTCCAGCAATCTGAAACCAGCTCTGCGAATCTCGAAAAGCAACTTCTCCAAGAAGTGGCGCCCCAGCCTCCCGGACCAACCCACGCGGGGTTCCTTACCTGGGCAGCGCCAGCTCCTCTTCGGCGCGATCCCAGAAACTGGTGACCGAGGGCAGAGTCAGGACCCCGACCAGGTCGAACACGGCCGCACGCAGCGCCATGGCGGTCTTTCACCCAGAAACCAGCGAAGAAAAATGCACGAAAGCCGAGCGGCCAGACTGGAGCATTTGGCCAACGGGGACGGCTAAGTCGAGCTCGGCCCCGCCCCAGCCCGAGCCTCGGCCCCACCCCCTGCTTCAGACTGGACACATCTCCGCCCCACCCCTTGCCCTGACCCCGGCCCCGCCCCTGCCGCGGGCTCCGCCACGCCCCCCCCGTACCAGATTCGACTGCGACCCACCGCCGCTCCGCCCCTTGACCTGCGCTCCCACTCCCCACCTCCGTCCCGTCCCCTGACCCCGGCCCCGCCCCTGCCCCTCCAACACGTCCCCTGCCCCGCCTCCGCCACGCCCCACCGTACCAGTCTTGATCGCCCTGGGTCGCCAGGAGGTCCCATGGGGCCTCCCTTGATGTACCCGCACCGTCCGAGGCCCGGATTCCATCTCCTTGCCTCCTGGCGCCTGGATCTGGGGCTGGAATCTCGCTTCTGAATGCATCATCTTCTGTCCCCAAAAACGAAAGTACTAAGAAGATCCCCTGGAGAAGGAAATGGCAACCCACTCCAGTATTCTCGCCTGGAGAATCCCATGGACAAAGGAGCCTGGCGGGCTACAATCCATGGGGTTACAAAAGAATCGAACACTGAGTGACTAAACAAGTAGCCTCAGGCCGGAGCAGTGGTTGCTTGAAGAGATGGACCCAGGCCAGGGAACGGGCTGACAGGCTTTACGTGTACATGGCGACTTTCCAGGCTGGGCAAAGATGGGGACCTGGGGAAAAGTCAGAGGCCACAGAACCTTTGAGAGAGAGAGAGTGTGTGTGTGTTGCCAAATCTTTCTTCATTCAATATTTCGATCTTCTATATTCATCTCAGTTGGAATATCTAGGAAAATAATAAATTTGTGTCCCTTATTTTCTAGATTCAATACATACATTTACAGATTCCTCACTATCCTGATCATGTGCCTCTAGTCACACTTGTTTGTCAAGGCAAAATGTAATTCTAGAATAAAATAGAATGCCCCAGGTATGGTATGCCAACCCAGAATACATCCACCCCAGCCTCTTGTGGAATGAGGTTTAGAATTGTTATTCAGTCGCTCAGTCGTATCTAACTCTTTGTGACCCCATGGACTGCAGCACGCAAGGCTTCCCGGTCCTTCACTATCTCCTGGAGTTTGCTCAAATTCATGTCCATTGAGTCAGTGCTGCTGTCTAACCATCTCATCCTCTGCCTCCCCCTTCTCCTCCTGCCTTCAGTCTTTCTGAGCATCAGGGTCTTTTCGAACCAGTCAGTTCTTTGCATCAGGTGGCCAAAGTATTGGAACTTCAGCTTCAGCATCAGTCCTTCCAATAAGTATTCAGGGTTGATTTCCTTTAAAAGACATACATTTGAACTATGATTACTTCTTTGTACATTATTTTTATGCTAATGCTGCCTTAAAATGTTTGAACTTCATTTTAAACTACACTCTTGGCTCATTTGTGTTTTTGGAAAATCTAAACCTTAAGAGTGTCCGAGCTGTGCTTACTAACGGGTTGTTGGATTCTCTGTGCCTTTGTAGTAAGTTCTGTGAGTTAGAGCATACTCCTGGCCTAATGTTCCAACTTGCTGAGATGTAGGTTCGATCTTTGGGTTGGGAAGATCCCCTGGAGGCAGGCATGGTAACTCACTCCAGTATTCTTGCCTGGAGAATCCCATGGACAGAGGAGCTTGGGGGCCTACAGTCCACAGGGAGGGTCGCAAAGCATTAGACACAAATGAAGCGACTTAGCATGCATGCTCAAAGACCCTAGGTTTGAAGACTGAGCCAGAGTTAAAGTGAATAAATACAGTAGTCACTCAAGAAGTTGATGATTTTAGGGACTTCCCTGATGGTCCAATGCTTAAGACTTCACTTCCCAGTGCAGGAGGTGCAGGTTGCATCCCTGGTCAGGAAGCCTGGGGCCATAAAATCAAAACATAAAATAGAAGCAATATTGTCATAAATTCACTAAAAGACTTTAAAAGTGACTTTTAAAGACTTAAAAGTGATCCACATCTGAAAATTTTTTTTAAAAAGTTGGTGATCTCAAAAGTAAAATTGAGTTGGAAAAAAGAAAGAAAATAGCTGCCTGACTTATGTAGTTTAAAACCTCTTAAATTGAAATCTACAATTTAGACTTCTCTGTGGTCTCCACATACACACATGCAATTTCCTACTCAACACCTCCTCATGAATATCTCATAGGCATCTTGAATTTCTCATGGTTGAGATAGAGTTCTTGCTGCATTCATACCTCCCAAATCTGCTCCTGGTCTTACTAAGGGGTATTTCCATTCAGTCAGTTGCTCAATCTAAAGAACTTGGAGCAGCTTATATATCCCTGGTTCCCAGCCAATCGTGTCTTTGAACTTAGGCCCAGTAGAGGCTGGCTGATTGGGGTAGAGGTGACAGCTTCCAGTTCAGTGGTGGTGTTTTTCTGGGAGTCTTTTTTTTAAATGAAATAAAATATTTTTATTAATCATCCTTTTATAAATTAATTAACCATAAACATTTGAGTGACAGCATATGCAAATTATCTCTCTAGAATATTGGCTTTTTATTTTTTAAAACTTTTTATTTTATCTTGGAGTAGAGTTGATTAACAATGTTGTGATAGTTTCAGATGTACAGAGAAGTGATTCAGTTATACATACTGTATAATTGATACATGTATCCTTGTTCAAATTCTTTTCCCATTTATATGATCCTGTAAGCTCACTCCTGGGCATATATCTGCAGAAAAACATGATCTGAAAGTATACATGCACCCTAGTGTTAACTACAGCACTGTTTATAATAGCCCAGACATGGAAGGAACCTAAATGTCCATCGACAGAGGAGTGGATAAAGAAGATGAGGTGCATATATACCGTTGACTAAAAAATTAATCACAACCTGAAAGTAGAGTTATTTTATTTGGTGGGGATGTTAAGGACTCCAAGCCTGAGATATCATCTCAGCAGCCCTGAGAAAACTGCTCTGAAGAGGCAGGAGAGGGAATCAGACTACATACAAGTTTGCAACATAGGGAGCAGGCAGTCTGAACATCAAAGATTATTGTGAAGTAAGGAAAACCAGATATCAAGTTAAGGAATTTAGTGTTCCTCTACGCATGGAAAGATGCAAAAGAATGGGATTATTGAAGTCATCCCTTTCATATGCATCTCAGCTATCTGGGGCCAGCATCCTGCACAGAGATATTTTTCTCTTTCTTGAATTTCCTTAAGACCTTGCAGCTCACACTGGATTGCTGTAATCACTGATGATTATGAAATCCTTATGTTCCTCATGTAGAGGGTGGTGCCACTTGTCAACATGGCTCAGAAACTCACAGTTGGAGGTCCAGGATCATGGATAGCCGTGACATTTCTTACCCACCGATATAGCAGGAAATATTTTGTTTCACATTACAGTGTAATATAACTCAGCCATAGAAAGAATGAAATAATGCCATTTGTAGCAACATGGATGGGCCTAGAGATTGTTATATTGAATGAAGTAGTTCAGACAGAGAAAGAAGAATATCATATGCTATTGCTTTCTTAAAGGCCCCATCTGGAGCTCATTCTGCCATTTTTTCACAAAGATTCTACAGGTTCCTAATTTCCTGTATTCAATCTCTCGCTATTTAAATTGACTAGAGTGATTTCTGTTGCCTGACTGATGCAGTACTGTTTAGGAATACATATATGTGTTTGTGAAATGCAGCGAAGTGAAGAGGAAGGTCACATCAACAGAATTAGATTTTATAAATCCACCCTTTGAGAAAAAAAAAAAAGAAACTTAGAATATGAGACCCCACTTTAGATGGGAATCATCTTTGCTGAAGACGAAATTGTGACCCTTTGTTTATTCTAAGGCTGTAAACTAGGAGACTGATTTGATCTGGACTATTTTGTAATACCTTGTGAGTTACAGGACTTCCTGGATGAATTGCTTAGGGAAAGATGAGAGGTCTCAATTGCATTTCTCTGTGTTCCACTTTTTCTCATAGGTCATTGTCCCCCTCTGTTTTCTGCCACACAAGATATAGGAAGATGCAAGTTCACTCAGCTGGATAATGGAAACGGTATACCTTTTTGAGATGTAAATCCTAACCCTTATGTCTACTAATCTTAACAGTTATAAATATGTTTGAGGTGATAGCACTGGAATCATAAAACATGGCCAGTGTAGTAGTGAAAATTCAGAAATTACACCTGCTGTCAATCACTCAATTTGTAATGAGCTTATTAGATTTCATTTTGGATTTCCTGCCCCTGCAACCCCTTCCCCACCTCCTGTCAGACATTGGTTTTCCAAACCTATTTTAAAGACTTATTTATTTTTATTTAGTTTTGGCTGCAATGGGTCTTCACTGCAGTCATCAGGGGCCATGCATCATCGTGGTGTGCAGGTTTCTCATCACGGTGGCCTCTCTTGTTGTGGAGCACAGGCTCTAGGCCCACAGGCTTCAGAGTTGTGGTCTGCAGGCTCAGTAGTTGTGGTTTGAGGGCTTTAGAGCACAGGCTCGATAGTTGTGGTGCATGGGCTTAGTTGCTCAATGACATGTGGGATCTTCATGGATCAGGGATCGAATTCATGGCCCCTGCATTGGAAGGATGATTCTCAACCACTGGACCACCAGGGAAATCCTCCAACCCTGTTTTAAAACTCCGTTTAATTCCTACTAGTTTAGAGAGAGGCTCACAGTGCTGTTTCTCCTGCTGTAGGTGTTTGAATCAAGCGCAAAATTGTCTCAAGTGTTTTCTAAGCCGTCATTTCACCTGAAGGTTGGTCTTTCTTCACCGCAGCAAATGAATTTCTTTTATTCATTCAACAAACACGCATCAAGCATCTGCTGTGTGCCAGGTACTTTCTCAGCACTTGGGATCCACTGGGAAATAAAACAGACCAAAAATAGGAACAAAAAGTTTCCAGTTTTAGTTTAATGATGAATTAAGGAGTTGCCAGTTGCTTGTGGGGCAGTGTGAAAA